GAAAAAAAAAAAAAAAAAAAAAAAAAAAAAAAAAAATTCTGGGGATGTGGCTCAGTGTGAAGGCCCTGGGTTCAATCTCCCATACAGCAAAAAGGCAGGGGGTGGAGTTGAAAAACACCAAAGAAAACAAACATCTGGAAGAAAACAGTATAAACCCCTACTTGGCCTTGGATTAGGCAATGGTTTGCTAGTTGTAACACCAAAGCATAAGTGACAAAAAAAGGTAAAATAAATAGATTTCAAACATTATTAAGTTGTTTCTAAGGACATCATCAAGAAAATGAAAAGGGCCTGGGTTGGAAGCCCCAGACCAAAGAGAAAAAGGCAACCCACAGATGGGAAAAATTATTTACAAATCACACATGATAGTACTTCATGCCCACTAGAGCAGCTAAAACTGAAGGACAGACTATAACAAGTATTGATGAGGGTGTGAAAAAAAAATTAAACCTTCATATACTGTTGGGTGGAATGTGGGCACCTGCTTTGGAAAAGCCTGACAGTTCCTCCAAATGTTAAACAGGGATACCACATGACCAAGAAATTCCACTCCTAGAAATACAACCAACAGAAAAAAAGCCACATCTATATAAAAGTTTGTACAGGAATGCTCATGACACCATTGTTCTGGTAGTCAAAAAACAGAAGCAACTCAGGCATCCAAATGATAAATAAATAAACATTATATGCTAAACTCACATGACGGAATATTATTTGGCCGTAAATAGAAATAAGTACTAACACATGCTACAGAGTGGCCGAAGCCTGAAAAATATTACACTAAGTGCAAGATTCTGGTCACAAATAACACAAATATGGCTCAATTTAGAGGAAACATCCAGAATAAGTAAATATATAGAAATAAAGTAGTGACTTAGGAGAAGGGAAGAAGTGGAGTGGCTGCTGATGAGTATATGGGGTTTCTCTTTGCGGCAATGAAGGTAAGTATGGGCAGATAAAATTAGCATGGACATCCAAATAAGACATGGCACTGGAAAGCCATAATCACAAAGTGAAAGCTGATTATTCTATTGTATAGAATAATGAATGGGACACCCAAGAAAGTAATTTTATACTTCAATACAATGTATGAGGGGGGAGGGAAAAAAGGGACAAGAAAAAAAAAAAGAGAAAAGAAAGAAAAATTTTAAAAAATGGAAACAAAGCTTTTGTATGTAAAGGGAATGGGGGAAAAAAGAAGCAGCAAGATATCACGCACTGGTGCAATTTCCCTTGATGAATATTATCATTATGTATATCTGAAATGTACCAATAAATGTTTTGCTAAAAACAAAAAACAAAGCAGCCACTATAGGACCACCCCCACCCACAGGTACACAACGATCAAAATGTTCTAAGTACCTACAGACACAATTTCCTTTGACAGATTTTATACATGGCAAGTATTTTTACCTTTTCCCAATGGAATGCGTCAGAAAGGGTCAGGATAATTCCAAATTAGAATACAATTTGGTTGTGTTCTCCTGGGAATGACCAAATAGCTAATTTTTTCCCTATCAAGTATCCCAGCACCACCTATAGCATCCTGACAAGGTTAACCACCTGAGTACTTTCGCTGAGTTGGCTTTTCCAAACCACACACAGCTGATTCACTTTCTCTGATAATCACTCACATTTGTCTTGTTAACCATATTTAAGAAGCTTATATATCACAAACAAGCTTCTGATGATTGTCTAATGGTATTCTAGATTACCCAAGTCCTCTAAGACTCCCAGGACAGACACACTGGATTGAAAGCAGTTTACCTGATGCTACTTAATTAAATTTAGTAATTTTTTACAGTGAGACTATGAGGCTTTATTAATAACAAAAGAAAATCAGGGAACTAGTACATTTGGCCACCACGAAAACAATGAGCACAAGGCACTTCCCTAAGGTGACGTATCCTTAAAGCTTTAACACCTTAAATGACAGAGAAAGTACTTTGGGGGGATAAAGCTGTATAAATTAGGGACAAGGATTCCGCTCACTGGCACTGGGCTTGCCTCACAAACCCAAGGTCCTGAGTTCAATCTCTGGCACCAAAAAAAGGTGTATAAATTACCCGACAATTGTATTCTTCCTATTGGTCTTATCAATGTTTCCAAACAACACAAAATTTGAAAACAACCACATCATTTCATAGATTTAACTAAAGGTAAACTTTAAAAATAGTTTGGGACGTGAGAAGTCACAACAACAAACATTCCAATCTAACTAGCCTAAGACATTTAATCCAGGGAACACTTAGGGAAGGTGTAGTTCCTGGATAAGCCTATTTCTACAATGATTTATTGCCGGTCAATATGACCCATGGGCTTGGCATCACAAAATATCCCAACCTAGGAACACACATACTCAAATTTCTCTAGGAGTAAGGTAACCTTTCCAAAATGTCTTTAACGTTAATCACCACTATTCTTGAAATGAGTATGGAAAAATAGATGTAGAATTAATTATGCAATACAGAGGGTACAGAAAATGGGTTCTAGGGGGACAGCGATTTAGCTCAGTGGTTCTGCCACCTGCCTTGCAAGGGCAAGGTCCTGAGTTTGATCCCAGGTAACAACAACAAAAAGTTCTAAAAGTTACTGTTATCTCTCTGCAAGCTAAATTAGCACAGCATTTACCAAACAACAGCTGAAAATAAAAGTGAAAAAAAAAGATAAGGGGTAGGGCCGGGGATTTACCTCGCAAGCTCAGGGACAAGTTCGACCCCGGTACCAAAAAACAAAACAAAAAAGATAAGGGGTAGCTGGGTCGCACCTTGGTCTTTAAGAGGTTGCTGATTAGAGGAAAAGAATGAGTTTCTAGAAGACAAAAGGAACTTTTTTAGCAAAACAGTGACAAAAACACTTTCTAGCTAAAGATAAGAATCTTATTTCAAAATTTTCAAATGGTAAAGAAAGGAACGGCCAGAACTACCTTGATTGAACCTCGTGTCCCAGGTACTTGTCGCGTGCAACCTGATCATTCAAAGCCCACTGCCTAAAATTAGCTGGCGCTGTGTAACTGATAAGACAAGAGCAAGACGTGGTCCTTTCCAAAATACAGAGGTGGAAACAGAACAGAGAGAACAGTAGAAGAACCAATACACTCGATCTTAGCCAAAAGGCAGAGAAGCGATTCGACCACTAATACAGGCTGAATCTGGGTCCATTCTAGCATTTAGGACGTGGACTCTTTGTAACACTAAAAGGCACGATTTGATGCATAGTTACTTCAAAAATCCGGCTATTAAGGTTGTCATCTACAAACTCTCTCCCCCTCTAACTTGGCACCACCTCACAGAGGAGTAACCCCTCTTGGCATCCCGCATCTCTAACAAGCCTCTCCCAGACTTATAACCCCATGGTCCTCAGCGCTTGAGAGGGAGCGACAGGAAGGATGAGTAAGCACGCGGGGTCCGGTCAAAGAGCACAGACCCTGGCCCTGGCTGCGGAAAAGTAGAACAGAGGGCAGGCTGGGGAGGTTATCCAATGGCCGGCAGCAGCTTCAAGCTTTGTCCAGCAGATACTGTCACCTCGTTCCGCAATCCCTAGGGCCCTCAAACCCCGTCCCGCGGTCAATCGCACCTTTGCTTTAGTTATTTCTTGAAAACAGCATAAAAACACAAACATAACTTCTCGTGACTTCTGTTGCTAAAAGACACTAAAGCCTCACCCAGAAGCCGGGTTAAATTCAATTGTTTCTTCCCGGGCTGCAGAGAAAACTCCTTTTCTGACACCCTGTCGCGCCCCCCCCAGCACACACACCTCTAATCTGCAAAGAGCCGACTTCCAGTTACAGCTTCAAATGTATTCCAACCGTTCGGTTGGGGGGGACCGAGGACAAAAAGACTTTTGAATTACTTGAACAGCCTGGTTCCAAGTACCTGACCTTATTTCCTCCCAGAGAAAAATAGGGCACCGGGCAATCAGAAATGTCTTTTTCTCTCCCTTCCTATTTTGGCTGCCGGGCAGTTCTCGAGTCGGCTTCCAAAAGGTCTGTGAGGTGAGGGGCTGTTCTAAGATTCACGAGTAGGAAAGTTGCCCTCTTTGCCCGAAGCCCCTTGCAACCCCCGGTTCTCTAAAAGACTGAACTTCACCCCCAAGGGACACCCGGATGCCGCTGGGGTTTTCGCGCCCAGGACGCCCAGACAAGGCCCCGATCCTAGAGGTGCCCGGAGGCCGCGCCGCCGCGCCCCGCCGCACCACTCACCCACAGACCGGTAGCCCAGGATCGCGATCTTCCGGGACTTGGACTGCGGCATCTTGGCGACCTCCTCAGCCCCGGCCCAACCACATCAACTGCGGCGGCAGTTGCTGCTGCTCCGATCAACGGCGGCCGTACCAAGGCAGAACAGCATACAGAGCAGGGGCG